ACGCCACGGGGCGCGTCCAAGGGGTCATGGGGCATGGTTGGAAAGCCGCCCATGACAGTACATATGGAATAGTACTAGTATGTAAAACTAAGCACTCTCTCAATAGAACGAGCAACAGTAAACGGAGAATAAAACATGATATCAATAAGAGACTCAAACGGTATCAAGGTGTCACATTAGGGAAAACGTAAATTTCAAGTAGGTTTCGGTAATTTAAGTTGGGAGATCTTTAGCACCAATATACCACCGTGTTTTAGCACGGAGTCCGATCTCAGCCCGACCGGCTAAGCCGTCTCACTCCGAGACATACACTCACAATACCACCATGTGCGCGGCATGGCGTCCGATCGCAGCCCGATCGGCTAAGTCGTATCACCACAATGCCGTGTGGGTCGACGTTACATCACATCTAGCTAGCAATAATCTCATCCCATTTAAGGGGAAAACATCTCAACACACCAATCTCATCCCATATAAGGGAAACAGCCTCATCATATTAACACGGGGATTTACCCTTCAATCATTCCTACACCGGCACGTGTAGTTTCGGGGTTAGGTTGTTCAGACCTACCATTCCTCAGTGGCTAATCGATACTCCCAAAGCATTTGTTATTAAAAGTATTCACCTCTCAATTCATATTCTTTTACATGTCATTCATTTTATTGACATCATTGGCCATAACGCAATATCATTCTTGGCACATTGGTCGTACTTCATAATTCAGCTCACTATTTCATTTTCAATCACTATCATGGATAATCAACAACAAGGCCTTTCAAATTAAGACTTTGATCACATACTAGAAGGTTGGATAGAATACAGAGAGATTTCCTATGGCAAGGTTATCGAGAAAAGAAGACTTACCATTTGGCTAAGTGGAAGACCGTCACAAAAAGCAAGAAACTAGGAAGCTTGGGGGTTAGAGAATTGAAGGCACTTAACAACGCAACAGTTTGATCTGCAAGTGGATTTGGAGGTTCAATCAAGAAGAAAAGGCTCTTTAGAGAGTCGTAATATGCACTAATTACGGACTTCTCAACCCCTGAATATCCAAATATGCTCCTCCCCCCTCCCCACTTGGTATGGGAAAACAAAAAATTTGAGCCAAATGGGAATTCTTCTTTGTGAACTCTACTATAAATGTAGGCGATGGTAGGAGCACAAGATTTTGGCATGATATTTGGCAATGGCTGGTACCTATCCTTATTAGACACTCTAAGTTTAAGCAAATATCCTCCAGTTTCTTTCAACTCTGATTGTCTTTAATGGGCATCCAAAAAGCAGCTTCTCTGTTAGTTCTTGTACTCTATATCTACCCATACACCCCCCCAGAATGTTATATGGCATTGGAAGATCATTTGGGAAGGTTTGGCCTCTCAAGGTGAAGTGCCTCTCTTGGTTGGTGGCCAACTAGGCTTGTCTCACGCAAAGCAACCAGCAGAAAAGGGCTGCAGCTTTGTAACAGATGTCTCTTATGTGAAGAGCATATTGAACACCCATCTCTTCCTCTGCAAAAAAAAATTGGGATTTTATTCTTAACATCTTGGGAATTGATTGGTGTATGCCCAAAAAAGTCGTATCATTTTTGCCGTGATGGCACAGGAAAGGTACACAATTTTCTTCGAACAACAAATGGAACAACAATGCTCTGGTGGTGCATCTGGAAAGCAAGAAATAGAAGGTTGTTTGACGACAGAAAGAACACTGTTATATTTTCCTAGTAGTACCTGTATGTTGGTTCCTAATATACTCCATCTGTCCCAATTTATGTGGTGGTGTTTGATTGGACACAGAGTTTAAGGAAGAAATGAATATATTTTAAACTTGTGGTTTAAAATAAGCCACAGATATATGTACAGCTATAAATCATCTCATTAAGGATAAATAAAAACTTTAAAATTAAATTATTTCTAAATAAAGAAGTATGACATTCTTTTCGGGACAGACTAAAACGCAAAGTATGACACATAAACTAGGACAGAGGAAATAGAAGTTATCTTTACCGATTTAAAAACTAAAAAACAAACAGTTCAAAGTTTTATCATTTTGAACTGCCTATTGCAAGTCAAATAGTAATCATAAACACTTAATAGTCATCATAATAAAAGAGCAAAGTTTCTTTTCCCCTTCTTGAGCTACGTTCATTTTTTTCTATATAAGGCAAATAAAATGACTAGGGAAACCCTATAGGCAAGCTGTACACCGAATTGCAGCGAACCCACAAAATAATATGGTTCTCTACAAATAGGGTTCTTGATGCAAAAATTTGTAAGTACCTTTTAGCGCACAACAACGGATTTTTCAATGGTTTAGAGGGTGAACTTAGTCAAAATGAAGAAAACTGGTTTGTAGAGTTATGTAAGTGAAATATCAAAGGAACAAAAGCCCCAAAATCCTGTAACAAAATGAAAAAAAAAATGAACTACTGTCGTCGGCAATTCTAGATCTGTCAATGGGTGTTTTGCAGGAGCATCATTTATCTTTAAAAAGAAGGACTAGAAAATTCTATAGATTGATCCTCAGCATGTACCAGTCACAATCTGAGCACATTTATATGATCTCACAGAAGGTAATCCCCACCCTTAGCCCAACAAACAGGAAAATTAAAAACAGAAGGATCTCATGCTAAGACAACTGTAACCTGTAAGCATTCCTAATGAGCTAGGTTTTATTTCTCCTCTGGGGAGAGGGCCGGATGGCATAGGCATAGGTTAGTATCCATATATTCAGCTAATTCTACCATTGAAACCTGATTATAGGTTGCTCCAGAGCATAAAAAATAGCTGGTGATGTGATTCTCTTCTGCATATCCTTATTTTTTTTAGAATGCTCTTCTGTCTATCCTCATTGGGGCACATAATGGAGCATTCAAGATTAGACCATGAAATCGGTTAATACAAGTTCTAAAGGTGCAGTCTTTCATGTTCTCTCCTGATTGCTGATACCCAATACAGTAGTTTTGGCAGGAAAAACAGTTATCCCTAGAGTAGAAGTGAACTTTATTAGGGAAAATCATCCAACCTATCAGACACCTATTTAGCCATGAGACCACAACCCCACAATCTATAATGTACCAACCCCTCACTTATGTAGAGTCTCACACTTCTAGATCACAAAATTGAAGCCAAGATATGAGACAAACAGTTACTGAGAAACACTAGCTAATTAGATACAAAGTAACTCTTACTACAGAGGAAAAGATAAGTTATGGATAGCAATGAGCCACAAGAGGAATTCCAAGATGATCAATTTAATGATAAATTATCAAACTGATAGTAATAGAAAGGCAAAAGTAGAAGCGGATGATTGCACTACCTAGCATAAGCAGGCAGATCTAAGCATTTCAGCAAAACATACCTGTTTTTCAGCCATGTACTTTTTACCATGCTCAACATTCTCCAGCAAATCCCTCTTGAGCTCTGCTTTAACGTCCTCACGCCATTTCTTCCAACCATGCTGCAAATTGAGGCTAACGGCCTTTGGAACTACGACCTCCCTGTTTCCAAACATCCACTTTAATTCAATCTCAGGGAAACCCTTGACAACTTGATCTGCTGGCGTGTTTACAACAAAACGTTTTTCATCGCCATATCTCTTCAATTTTTTCTTAATACGACTCTCGAGACTCTGTTGCATCTCTCTGGAGTTCTTAAGTGTTTGTTCTATTCGATGAGCAAACACCATAGAGTCTTGATCAAAAAGGAGTACATTCTCTTCATTTTCCAAAACACTGGGTAGAGCTATCTGCTCTAATAATTGTCTTTGAGCAGTTTGCAGCTCTTCTTTTATCTCAGATCTAGAAAGCTTGGTGAGAGAGTTTTTAGGCACACTGCAAACACATAGAACACAAGTATATTAAATGATTGGAACAATATAGTTCACAAACAATATCAGATAGCAAGTTTTGTTACAAATAGTATTAAACAAAACTAACCTCTTCTAAAGAACAAAAGGATATCTACAACCTACAATAATAACATGCTAAACGTCAACTATTTAGTCACCAACATAAAGTAGATTAGATGACCAAGGAACAAGTAAAATTGGAGATGGACTTTAATTCTAGCTAATATAATAGCTAACTAAGCATTAAAATGTCTAGATGAGGTATTCCAGGCAAATACCAGAACAATTTACAAGGTTAAATCCTCAAAAGAAAGAAAAAACAATCAGTTCACAACAGAGCTATATGTTTTAGGTGCCAACTAAATTAGTACGTGCACATGGGCAGTTGCATCCCAAGATTTTCCCTGAACCTGAGGGCACAATTGAAACAAAAGAGCTCCATGCCAAATTCATGCCCATATCAGGTGTCAGATTAAAAGAAGCACAGCTGCTTTGCTATCATTACTTGTACCAAAGACCTAAAATTTCAATATTGTCTTACCTCCTGATGCTTTCCAGCCTCATTTTCCTTAGAAACTCCTTGACCAAGATTTCACACTCCCTCTCAATAGAAGCAAGCTCCCTCACACCAATGCTTAATGCAAGTGTTTCTCTCCTCATAATCTCATCGTCTATCTCAGCAATCCTTTCCCACAATCCATTATATTCCTCCCCGCTCCGTCTCACTTCCTCATCCAATTTCGCAACTTTTCCCTTTACTACTGCATCTTCATTGCCCTTAGCCTTCTTCAATAAACTTTCCTCCTCCCTCTTAATCTTCAGCACTACATCAATAATCTCCTCTGAACGCTTCACCAACGCGCCTTTTTCCCCATTTAACAATCTCAGTTCCACATAGAGACCATTCATGATCTCCTCTTGCAACTCCTTCTTCTTCATCTTCACATCTTTTAGCTTTTCCTCCACACATCTTACATCCTCTTTACCGTACTTCACCTCCTCTATAACTTTAAGCAACCCCGAGACTGTCTCTAACAATCTCTTAGTACAATGTGAATACACATGTTCCCCTTTACTACTACCTTTCTTTTTTGTTTTGTTAATCAGCTCAGCTGCCGCGGGCGGAGCAGCGATAGCAGGAGGCAATTGAAATCCTAGAATGGGGCAAAATGTAAAAGCAACAGAGAATAATGTGTAGACTAAAGGCTTTACAAAGGGTTTCAGAGGATTTTGGTCATTATTATACCTATCTGGTATTATTGTGTCATTTTTGGTGATAGAACACTCTAGAAGAAGTCTAGCTGGAGCTGAAGTTATAGGAACTAGAAGAGAATTTTTGGGTTTATCTCCTTCACAGGAAGATTTAACAGGGAATTTTTTCAAGCGGATTCGGTTATTAGGGCGATTGAAGAATAGATTTTGAGGAGTAGGGGTAGTGAAGAATGGAGTAGTAGTAGTAGCAGTAGTATACATAATAGGGCGGTGATGAAGGCTAAGACGTTGGTGTTATAGCGCATGAAATTGGGAGAGTAGAAGCATTTCTGAGAAAGTTGAAAGAGAAGAAGGATAAGACCGCTGGGGTTTTATAAAACTCCAAGAGAGAGCCGGCGAGCAAAGTTAATACAGCAAATTGTCACGGCCCAAATCCTTATATTGGCTAGCGGCGCCTGCTCGCTCTAAGGTGTCAAGTGGGTCAGGTCCGGTCCTAAATGGGTTTTGCGGGCCCGGTCCAAAGCGGGCCGATCCTAAATGGGCAAGTCTTATGCAATCCGGTCCTAAACGGTCTCGGGTTTCGCGGGCTTATTGCTGGAACCGACTCGAGATCGGTACCACGAACTAACGGTCCCGGGTTAAGTGGGCCGGGTCCCGGGCCTAAGTAGGCCTAAACGGGCCCAGCAGATTTTTTTCTTTCTTTGATTTTCTTTTTTATAGAAGTTAGAAAAAAAAATAGTAATAAAGATATATAAGCTATATTCGATTTATATACTATATATACGTCTTAAAATATATATATATATATATATACTATATTATATATATAGTATATAAGCCATATTCGATAGTATACATCTTAAAATATACTATATATACATCTTAAAATATA